AAAAGAAGAAGAAGAAGAAGAAAAAGATTATAAAAACAATAGATGGAATAATGTATTGCCTGGCATATGTCGCTGTTGAACGTCAGTAGTACCATTTGAATATAGTGACGTAAATAACTCTACATTTCTAAGTGAATTGCAGAATCAGCAATAATCAACAGTAACTGCCTGTTTTACCATGACAAAAAGCAGGTCCTCTTTGTTCAAATTTACAAGGGAAAACATTGCTTTGATTAGTAAAAAGAGTCAGCATCTCGATTTGCCAGTTCGAATATCCCGTAATTTTGTAAATGCCTTTGTGTTACATAATGATTATTGCTGTGCCTTTTTCTGTGAAATAGCAATTTATCTTTAAGATTTTTTTTACTCTCAACAAGTTTCTTTTATGCAGCTTAGCCAGTGAAGCTATTCCTATTGCTCATTCAATGCGACCAAGCTTCTTCAAACTTTCTTGTCAAAAAGGATGTTTGCAAGAATTGCCTTTAGAAATTTGTAGCTGAATCATCTGTCAGTCAACTGCCCCCCCCCCCCCCCCCGCCCTGCTCCGCTCACCCTTTTGCCCCCTTCCACTCTTGTTGTCTAGTTTTCTCTGCATTTATTTTCCCATTTATTTGGTGAAGCGGAACATCGAATCTTCACGACTTTGTAGCTTTCTCATTGAAAAGCTTACTGTAATATTTTGTTTAAAGCTTGTTTCCGTCCCATTTCCCATTTATTCATTTATTTATACTTGAAGCATAAACATTCGAATCGATCATGACAGCTTTATTTTGTTTGTATCATGTTATTTTGTAAACATTATTGACTGTAAACTGTCATCCGTGTGTTTGCATTGTTTCTGCATAATCTATATGGCTTTGTTATAAAGTAAATAAATTTATTTACGGGCGTTTTTAAAAGATCATATCTGTATAAATTCAACTTAACTACGGCTTTATGTTTGAAAACTAACAAAGCATTAAAGGATAATTTATGCGCCACTATGCTATACATGGTGCTAGCCTAAATTTTTTATATTAATCGATTCACACCAAGTGGGCGAAGTGTTTTATTACCAATTGTAAAGGGCTCACAGCTAAATGTTAGATTCAGTTTGATGTGATATGCACGAATTCTGTGTATTTCATTCTATTTTCCTAATTTTACGAACTGCAGTTTGTATGTTTGCTCTATTATCACATTTATCATTGTGATATAGTTAGTTTCCGATGTTTTTCGAGTTACATACACCTGCATTATTAATTCTTGCCCCAAATTCTTGTAACTAACTTTTTATATAGATACGTTCTGTTTCTTTGGTTTTATCATAGGAAAGATGACTGAAAAATGAAAAAGAACAGTTGTGGTTTTGGAAAACCGTCCCAGTACTTGTGAGTGTCACTAAAAGACAGACACGTTCAATTAAAGTTTTACTAGGAAAAAGATTCGAAAAAAAAAAAAAAACATAATTCAATATTAAAAGAATTAAATAATAGCCTGAAACACGAAAATCTTTGAATTTATAATAAAGTGACAGTCTAAAAACCTTAGTGATTTGATCATTTGAAGTCTAAACAACTAAAAAAAAGAATGGATTTTATTTTTACATAGACAGACAACAAAACAACATCAAATCTATGAGCCGAGACCGAAGTTTAAGCCTATTACTAACAGTCTGTTTTGACTAGTGAATAAGGCGCGCTTAGCAGTATACTGAAAAAGTAATTAGTCTTATCTATATTCAACCCCCCCCCCCCCCTTTTTTTTTCCTCGCTAAGAAAGCTAAAAGAAAGGATTCCTCTTTTGGAATATCCCCTATTTTCCTCAGTGCCATAGTTTCTTCTTAGCATTCATCAACTGTAAATTCTGGCAGAAAGTTCTGGCTGTTCGTTCACTTCCGGAATTTGGTCTTCGAGGAATTGAGGTTAGCATGCTCATCCATGTTACAAATCTGGCTTATTTGTAAGCAGAATGTTGGTTCCCCACCTCTCAGGCTCAGGCAGATGCACTTCACCTTTGAAGGGATATCCCTAATTAGCTGCTTCTTACGACATGTTTATTAGGGGGCAGTGGGTTTTTTCAACCCGCCGCCCCCACCCCTCCGCCCCAGCCCAAAATTGAGCCCTGGAACCCACATTGGGATTTGCCGTAGAGGAGAACTAATATTTTCATACTATTTCGATGTCCGGTCTGTGTGTCCTCGGGGATTGCCGGGCAGAACTATATATGGAAAATAATCACAGGAAGCTGATATTTATGGCAAATATTAAAGACCTAGTCCTATTTTCACCTACACCCTAGGGTAGAAATGGATTTACAAAGCAGAGAGAGAGAGAGAGAGAGAGAGAGAGAGAGAGAGAGAGAGAGAGAGAGAGAGAGAGAGAGAGAGAGAGAGAGAGAGAGAGTAAAAGTTATCTATAACAAATCCTTTTTTGACCGTTTTTGTTATAAGTCTCTTTCAGACATTGTTTCTGACACTGTTATTTCGACTGACGACTGATGTGGAGAAAGATTGAAATATTGCTTTCTTGAATTAAAATTATCCTGACAAAATTAAATATACACCTGCTACACTTGTGGAATGTTCTTGTATTGGGCATTGTAAATACAATTTAGTATTATAACCATACGCTTGGAACATCTATGAATTTTCATTCATAATCGGCGTAAAAATAATTTTATATATAAATATATAGCAATCACTATGCTGCAACAGCAATACATGACAAAATAAAATATTTGAAAAAAAAAAAAAAACCACAATGAATGCATTACTATATGTTGACTATGATTAAAACCTACATGAAAATTTCTGTACAAAAATAACAAATATATCCGGATTTATTGTTTTAAAGAGAAGGTTAGTTGCGTATCCTTTACAGGACGTTGCAGAACCAACCCTAACAGCCCCTGGCTGTTGTGTGTTTTTTTTTAAGGCAAAATTACGTCCAGTAGTTTACCATTGCCCCTGGACGGTCGGCTTTCTTGATACCACTGTCGAAACCAACGCAAGCGCATGGCCCGCAGCTGGGATCGAACCCGGCATCCCGGCATTACGAAGCGCTCGCATCGACTTAGCCACAGAGCCGACGATTTAAAGAAAAGAGATCACTTTTAGCTAGAGAAACGAATTTCAAGTAATGATCATTCTCCAGCATTATGGATAATGTTTTGGCTAAGCTTCGTCAACAAATCTGGCTTCCAGACGCATGGAAACACAGAAGCCTGTTGAGATTTGACACTAAAAATGCCACAAATCAGCACACACACACACAAGGTTGAGGAAGGGGCCGGGGCGGCAACGACAACTCACTGTCTTGCTTTGTAAAATATGTTGGTGACTGGCCTGAATTAAATCACTGACGATAAAAACAACACATTGCACAATTTATCTCCTTGCACATGTCACTTTTTTGCGCAGGGCGATAACTATATAATTTGAATCAACATATAAGAAAGCACGAAAATGAATCTTTTCAACTAACATCCACAGTATTTTGTTACACTGTCCACTTCAACAATGTAGTCTAAGTTTTCTTCTGCTTATATATTGCGGGGTTATCCATTCTATTTACTACAGCCGCCAGAAATTCTTTATACGTGTATCTCACAGTGAGAATATATTTTTTTTTTTTAAATTGTCTTCAATATTGTGAAATCATTTTCTAGTATACTGAAGCATTAATACCTAATAAAGTATCAGTTACTAAAGGAAAGGGACCAACAATGAGCACATATATTGTTCAACAGTGCAAAGAAATGAACACAACCAATATAAACGTCTTCTTGTGTCATCATTCATCTGGAGCCATTTACACTAGAGGTTAAAAACAGACTAATATATACACATAATGAACATCTACAACGAGAATTAAAAACACGGATATATGGTACATTTGAAAGAATAAAAAAAGTATATACGAATCTAAAGAAAATAGGTTTACTTTGAAAAGAATATCCTAACTAAAGGAAAGCGTACTTTACTCCGCTAACTAAAAAAAAAAAAAAAGAATGAATAGTTCGTTTTACCACAGATAGATACATTTCAGTTTAAAAGTGATATATATATATATATATATATATATATATATATATATATATATATATATATATATATATATATATATATATATATATATGGTGTGTGTGTGTGTGTGTATCAAAAATCTGATTGTAATTAAGGTATTTTAATTTTTAAATGCATAGAAAACTAACTATTTAGGACTATTTGTTTCAAATAATTTTCTAAAGCACATTTGGTACTAAGAAAACAACGTCTCACTGGTTGTAGGTATTGGTATACCGAAGGACGATCTACAGCCAGACTGGAATAGAGCTTCTACAAGATACACGCTACAAATGCATTTTACACAAACACTAAGATAACAAGGTTGATCTCGCATGCCATGCAAAAAAAATCATAACTCCTAACCACAGAACCTTACATGTCAACATAGAACTTTTCTCAGTGGCTGACAAGTTTATCACGTAATGCTGAATCATGGCGCTCGTGTATTCCTGGGGCAGGTAAAGGAAGCTACGAATGGCAAAACTGTAACTGTAACCTATCAAATATGTCGTAAGTGATGACTAAGGAAGGTTGGCGTAAGACTATCTTGCCTTATAGAAAATTTAGTGCAAAATTCAACCAGTCCAGAACAAACCCGTGAAAAGTTTGGGGTGGGTTGTCGGAAGGCTTGAACCTCATAAAAAAAAAAAAAAAAGAGAGAAAAAAAAAAAAGAGAGAGAAAAAAAAAAAAAAGCAGAAGAGGCTAAAGAAAACAAGAAAGAAGTATTAATATTAGGAAGAAGAACAAGAAAAACAGGACAGATATTGATTACTGATTGTGATGAAACTGTTCGTCGTGGAGCATGGCTGCTTAACATAATCCCATCCATTCTATCTGAACGCAACACAATGCTGCCCTATCCTACGAGGTTTAGCCCCCGATACGTGTTCATTATTATATTTCAGAAGGGAATGTAAGAACTCTAGAATAACTAGCTAATCTATCACTTACCCTTTCGAACGAATCCTCTAGCAGGTAAACAGAGCACTTTTCACACTTTAAAAGATCCTGTGCGTCAAGCATAATTTTCTGGACTAGTTTCTCCAGGTTGCTCTGCTCCTCGAAGATCCCCCGAGCCAGATGGAGTAAAAGCTGGGAATACCGACCAGTAATGGTAAGAAAAAATAACTATGTATTTATTTGTCATAGAAGACAAAAGAAAGATTAGATCAGTAAATACTCAGTCCACTATTAAAATATATGGTGGCCAATCTCTCACAGCGCCGTCAGTAAGCAAGCGGAAAGCATCTCTAAAATTAATTGAAAATATTTTCTATATTACAACGCTACAAATCAAAACATTAAATATTCTCATTTGGTGAATATATTTTGAAAAAGTAATTCTTTTTAAAAATGTATTCACCACAAGCATTTGACTGTGTGAAGCATGAAGAAGTAATCAAACTGTTAGAAAAACTAAACATTGATGGGAAAGATCTACGAATAATAAAGAATATGTATTGGCAGCAAACAACAGCTATAAGAATTAACAACTGTTTAGGCACATTTCAAAGCATAAGGAGGGGCGTACGACAAGGTGTATACTGTCCCCTGATTTGTTTTCAATATGCAGTGAATATATAATGAGATCTTTAATTGATATGCCCGGAATGATGGTGATAGACACCCTACGCAGCCCTACACACAACCGTATGATGATAATATGTGCCCATTATTTGTAGGATATGATAGCCGATATATGATTATATGAGTACAAGATATGGTAATTAAATTATTTGTAAACTAAATGAGAAATTTACGTTATGCTGATGACACAGTTTTGATAGCAACAAGTCAGAAAGAACTACAGGAAATGATAGACATTGTGGTGTTAGAAAGTGGAATAATGGGCCTCAGTTTGAATAATGGGAAAACAGAAATAATTGGGGTATCAAAGAAACGAATTATTCCTAAATGTCTAATAGAAGTCAATGGTGTTATTTTAGGACAAGTACAGAAATTTAAGTATCTGTGCACATGGATAACTTCAGATGGGAGATGCATAAATGAGATAAGAAATAGAATAGGACAGGCAAAAACTGCCTTTTATAAAATAAAAAACATCTTGTACAATATATCCTTGTCCTTGAGAGTTAGAAAAAGAATTCTTGCTTGCTACATACATCAAGTTTTAACATATGGCTGTGAATCCTGGACAATCGGTAGGCAGGCCAAACAATTTTTTGAGGCCTCAGAAATGTGGTTTTACAGAAGAATGCTTAGAATACCTCGGACAGCCAAAAAGAGCAACCAAGAGGTTTTGAAAGAGGCGGGAGTCCGAAGACAACTTATCAAAGACAGCGGAAGGAGACAATCATCATTTTTCGGCCATGTTATGAGAAGAGGTAAAATAGAACATGTTGTGGCCACTGGAAAGATCTGTGGAAGGAGGGATAGAGAAAGACAACGAGAGAAGATGCTTGACAGTCTTGTTGCATGGCATGGAGGTGTGTCGGCACACTAACTGATACATGCTGCAGGAGATCACAGATTATGGAGAGGCATGATCGCCCACGCCAGTCGGCAAGCCACCTGATGATGATTCACCACTGCGTTCAATGTAAGTTCTTCAGCTTAGATAAATTGCCCGGATTCTTGTAGGAAAAATTATTGTGTGTATCCATTCGAAAATCGCTAATTGTACCTCTTCGATGGACTGAAAAGTCTTTCCAAGCCATAATAATCTTCTATCTCTGCTCATTCCGTTGCTTGTTCCCAAAGGGCCTTGACCTGTTTGCCTTGTCATGAATCAATTTATTGACCAATGGTTCAGATCCAGCCAATCTGTCTGCCTGATCATTACCAGCTACACCGGCATTGCCTGGAGAAAAATCCAAAGTATGCTCACTACCCATGACCTTTTTAGTTTCAGCCATTGCGCCGAGCAGTATGGGCTAGAGCAAAAGGACAATTTTACTCAGAAGTCAACAACAAGGCCGGAGATAATTCGTGAGAAGATATGTTTACGCATCACTAGTGACAGTTTTCTTTCTTCGCTTACGGTGCTCTAAATTAACGCCTCTTTCATCACAAAAGAGAGCCAGCATAACCTTGCCTGCAGATGGCTGCATGTGACTTTGGTTTCGGTGAGGAGCGATTGTGCCGTTCCTTGGTCGCTCTGTTAGTTTCCGGTTTATGGTAGTGAACCCAGATTTCATCTTCCGCTACAATTTTTGATAGGAAACCATCACTTTCTGCTTCAAAGCATCGCAAAAGGTCTTGGCAAGCATCAGTGCCTCGTTTCAACTCTAAAGAAAACTATCGTGGCACCCACTTTGCAGACACTTTGCGGTACTTTATCACACCGTGGATGATGTAATGTGCTGAACCTCAACTGAGGTCAAGTTCTGCTACGAAGAGCAGTTTGGCATACGGTTAGAACATTGGCCTCTCAAGCAGGAGACCCGGGTTCGAATTCTCGTTAAAGCTATATATTTTTTATGTTGGAGGCACACAAAAAAAATCCTCACCTACAGAGTCGTGGCGACAGCACTAGCCACGCGGCCCAAATCCTGTCTCAAAGACCCCCATGCCTACACCGCAAAAGCAGTCTATTAAAGCCAGTAATTGACAGCTGAGATCTGCTACCAATGTCACTCACGCACACACGCACGCAGGCACGCACACACACACACATACATACACACGTACGTACCAACATACACACATACATAAATTCACACATACATACATACTTACATACATACATAATACATAATACATACATACATACATAATACATACATACATAATACATACATACAGACAGACAGACAGACCGACTGACCGACAGACAGACAGATATAAAAATATACAGAGAGAGACAGAGAGAGAGAGAGAGAGAGAGAGTGAGAGAGAGAGAGAGGGCGATTTATTTAAATAAATAGTTTACAATTATTACCTGATTTCGCTTGAATTCGTTGACTGACATCTCGAACAGTTGAGCATTTGTAATACCAATACCACAAAAAGTGAGATACTTGTGAAACAACTGAAACAAGTAGTGACAAGTTAGCATTCTCCCCCTTCTCCTAAAATTATAAATCATAATCACTTTTATAGTGATAATTTATAGACTAATTCTCTCACACGAAGGTGATAAGTATAAGCATGTACCGAATAAAAAAAAAAAAAAAAAAATTTCACAGCGAAGCAATGACACTACAAAAGAAATGTAAATCTCTGCAGGACACTGAGCAGCTCAAATTTGCACAGATTCGGGAAATGACTTTAGTCATCGACATCACAGTTTCGGAGTCTTATACGAAGTCGTAACACCTTCCTGAGACACGAAGGACCAAACAGTCTGCTTATAAATAAGTTAGATCTGTAAAACAGATTTGCACGCACCTTAGGTTCTGAAACAACTTTCAAGTTCAGAAGAGGACGAGCAACCACCTGAGTTTACAGCCCGTGAAGGGAACAGTTGACATCTTCACCTTACGATTTTTGCTGCGGGAGATGGAGTTGAGCATACGTGGATATGCCTCCTGGGCTATGATCGGTGCTGGATTAAGGTATATGCTAATTAGGCTGCAGCATAGGGCTTCACAATCTCCAGAGGCCCTAATTTTTTTTTATTTTGATCAAATGTAATTTCCTTTCACTATATTTATAACGGCGGCGTTGCGAGTCCGACTCGTAATCCAACGTACCGCGATCGAAACCGCAGGTCGACCCAGCCTAAAATGGGTACCAGGATGGCTGTCCTGATGAAGTAAAGACGTCCGGTCTAATGCTGACCACATTACCCACCCAGTGCCGATTGGTCTGTAAAAATATGGGACGCTCTTCCCAAATACCTGATGCGCCTATGGCGTGAAAAGGGATCTTGACTTACTTACTGTATATTTTTCACGCATTTAAAAAAAAATATCTCTAAACATTTCAACCCTAGAATTTTCGTAATTGTATTATTACTATTATTATTATTTTATTATTATTGGTCTCTTACTTCAAACTTTTATTCATCCTAATTTTTGAGACTAGCTGGCGTAATTTAAAACGAATCCGACCGGACCCGAACAGTCTCACCCGAACCGTAGCTGACCTCGAGCTAACCGAGCCGCAACTGACCCAACCAGCCCTACTTAGCCAGCACGTAGGTCTGGCAGTGGTGATCCCGCATCGTTTCCTCTCTTACATCAATGTCCGTCCCAATTAGTATAGCATAGAGAGAGAAAAGGGTGCCCCCCCCCCCCAAAAAAAAAGGGTCCGTAAACTAGGTATATACTACTGTGAAATGCAATTTTGTTTAAATATACAATTTTTCCTTTCAATTTTATTGATTTTATTTTGGGTATAATATTCCAGGCTATGATTTATTCTTACTTGTAACTTATTTTTAAACTGATTAAACTAATTAGCTCGACGTACGTCAACTCCACCTTTTATAAATTAATCTAGACAAACTTAGCCACTGTCAGTTTCAGCTGTAAGGTAAACATATATTACTTATCTTTTGCTGTAGGGCCTGAAGACTTTATACAGCTTAGGGCCTCATCCAGTCTAAATCCGGCCCTTCCTTGCATATTTACCTCCTTCCCGTGTGGGTTCAGGGGCCTAATTGAGAGGGAAAACTGAATAGACCCATTGCCTCCCCAGCAAGCATGACGTAAGAATCGACTAACTGGAGGTTTCCTTCGAAGACGGAGTACATCTGTCTAAGAGGCAAGTTACTAAAAGTCTGCATTAAATAAAAAAGAAATTTAAGAGGGATGTGCACGCAGCCCTCAGGTTCTGGAACATCCAGAGGTGGATGAACAACCAGAACTTTCTGCCGGAGTTTACAGCCGGTGAACGTGAAGAAGAAAAACGATATTTACTTTATGGCCTTGTTTAGTAAACTCATTGTTGTTGTTCACCCAAATGCAAATTACCGCCCACCCTCTTCCAAACCACATCCCATCTTGTGTAATAAATCCATGAATGTTGGATAATCGTGCAACTATCTCGTTGTCTTGTTTAGTAAACTCATTATTGTCGGTCACTCATGTTCAGATGATTCCCCCTCCCCCCCCCCCCCCCCCCCCCCCCCCCCCCCCCACCTCCTTCCCTCAACCACATCCCATCTTGTGTATCAAACTCATGAATGTTGAATAACCGTGTAACTATCTCGTTATCTTGTTTATCAAAAGTAAAGGACCCTTTTCCACACTTTCAGGCATACTGAGCATATAAGGCTAGAACCATATTTGATATTTAAGGCTGGGTCGACCTAGGAGCCAAAAACATTAAAAAAAAAAAAAAAAAGGTCTTGCTCCGCCAGAACACGAACCCAGACCTTGGTATACGTAGGCCAGTGTCCACCACCACACTAGTGGAACTCTTAACTGTCTTGCTTAGTAAACTAATAATTGCTGAGTTGAGTTGAGTCAAGAGTTGGCATCACAGCACTCGGGGCATTCCCTGCATGCTCCGTCCTCATCTTCAGCAGCCAGCGTAGAGTTCTAATACTAATGGTACCAGTCACAATCTGGTTAAATGTCCGTCTTGCCTTTTCCCTGAGTGTAGTGAGCCAGCCAGACCCTCTGGCCACACCTAGGTCTCATTCTCTCCAGGCCATAATAATCTCCTTTCTCCACTGATTGCGTTTCTTGTTCCCAAAGGGCCTTGACCACATCTGCTCTGTTATGTATCAATTCACCACCCAGTGTTGCGGATCCAGCCAATCTGTCTGCCTGTTCATTACCCACCATGCCGGCATTGCTCGGAGAAAAGATCCAATATATGCTCACCACCAGTGACCTTTCCAGTGAAGCTTGCCACTCTGCTCGAAGCATCCCTGTCTTATGCATCCCTGCCCCATTCTTATGCTAGATGTTATGGTGTCATTTGCTAGTGTCTTGCACTAAGGATTTTTAATTGCTGAAAGCTTGCGTACATTCTTTCTCGTCTTGTTTAGCGCACCCATGACTGACGATCACTTACACACACCCCCTCCCCCTTCCTTTCCCATCTCAACCCCATCATGTTTCAAAAAGTCATACATGTTGGATAATAGTGTATCTACCACCTTGCCTTGTCTGGTTGAGTAAACTAATATTTGTCGAAGACCTGTGTACATACCTCCTCGTCCTGTTTAGTAAACTCATGATTTCCGGAAACTTTGTTGATGATCTGTGCCACACCTATGACTTCTCCCTCGTAGTTGAGAATTGGCATGGACAAGATGCTGTGTGTCCGGTATCCAGTCTTTTTATCCACTTCTTGATTAAATCGCGGATCCTAAAAGAAGTAACAAACACAGGTTTAATTTAAAAAATGCAAAATAGTTAAATTTTAGAGAGAAATTAGGAAGAATTGAAATTTAAAAAATGAAGAATAAAGCTTAGATTTGTATGCTGAGAGACTTACAAACAGCATAAAGATAGGAGTTTTTTTTTTTACGTATCCGGAAACCATGAGTTGTAAACCCTTTAGCTCGGTACAATATATATCGCAACGCTTCGGCCTTGATTCAATGATAGGTACCGTTAATCTGGGAGAAATGTAGCTTTTCGGCCTACCCCAAGGAGTGAACCCGGACTACAAGGAGTTCCTCACCCGGTCACCGCGATGTCAGTTTTAACCAACTACACCAGAGAGCCGGGCTAAAAATAGCAGTGAAAAACATTCCTAACAAAATATGCCAGAACACTTTAAGGAAGAAAGGAGTAAAACCCCAACTGAGATCACTAAGACCTGAAATAGTTACGTAGTCTCTTGGTGGAGCGACCGTTGCCCAGAAGCACTGGGGGGGGGGGGGGGGGGAAGCACTTTAGAGGTATATAGAACACAAAACCCTAAAAAAAAATTGTAATACATATAAGAATACCAGAAATGAAGCCAACCAAGCAGTCAAAAATACCACGGAGACACACAGGAAAACATTTTGTCAAAACTGACACCAGATATTTCAGCGAACGAGGTGTGGGATAAAATAAAGGCTATTAAAGGAGCTAAGAAGAGGTATAGGATTCCCAAAATACAAATACCCACATTGGCAATAACTGACCAAGAGAAAGCCGATGTTTTTAGAAGGTACTTCTATGAACTTTGATCCAGTGAAAGATTAGGCGAGGAAGGGTGTAAAGTAGAAGAAGTTAGAAGTGCTGTAAGTGGAAAATCCAAAACTGCAACAGGAGCTGACATTTTTAATTACACAATAATGAAAATGTTACCATGGAAAAAAACTTGAAGCAAATTACGAATTAATTCAATCAGATAGGGAGAGAATGAGAAATTCCTAAGCAATGGAAGCAAGCCATAATTATTCAATTAAAAAAAAAAAAAAACAGAAAAGTAACTCTAAAAAGTAGACTCACACAGACCTATCTCGTTAACATCATATTTAAGACAAACCATAGAAACTGTCATAAACAAAGGGATTACTTTCCACCGAAGAAAAATAACTTATTTAGTAAAACCAAGTCACGATTTAGAGCTATTAGGTCTACTTCTTGGATTTTATCATGATATGGGGCGTTGCAGGTCGACCAGCCCAAAATGGGTACCAGGATGGTTGTCCTGTGGAGGTAATGCTTACCATATTACCCAACTAGTGCCGATAGTCTGTGAAAATATGAGCGCTCGTCCCATATACCCATACGCCTAGAGGTGTGAAAAGGGATCTTTATTAAAAAAAAAATCCTTAATTCTTCTTCTTCAGCATTCCGAGCCCTTGAGGTTCATTGCTGCAGATATCACCCGCCTCCATTCATCTCTCTGGTTGGCCCTCTCTTTCCGGTTGGTGACACCAAGTCTTTGCAGGTCTCTCTGGACATTATCTCTCAATCGTCTTGGTCTGCCTCGTGGTTTACGACCATAAATCTCCCAGGTGTATACAGTTTTTACTTCTCTGTCATCTGACATTCTTTCAATATGTCCCAACCATTTAAGTCTATTAGCTCTCATGATGCCAGTGATTAATGGTGATTTAAACAGATTATGAATTTCGTTGTTGCTTCTCACTCTCCATTCACCTCTGTTTGCATCTTTGATGGGTCCAAAGATTCGTCGTAAGACTCTGTTTTCTAAAACATGTAATAAGACGTCATCTCTTTTAGTTGTACTCCAAGTTTCAGAGCCATCTAACACGACTGGTCTAATCAATGTTTTATATATTTTGATCTTGTTGTTGCGAGACAGAGACTTCGACTTTATCAGATGTTGAAGGACATAATAAACTTTTTTTCCAGATTGTATTCTAGATTGCATTTCTTCTCTGAGCAAGTTGGAGCAGTTGAAGTTTGTACCCAGGTACTTAAATGTTTCTGTTCGTTTGATTTTCGTATTATCGACTTGTATGTGGCCGGAGTTTATATCCTTTCACTGTCTAGTTATTATTATGTATTCTGTTTTATACTGATTGATAACTAGTCCCATTATCTGAGCTGATTATTTTAAGCCAGTCAGTGTTTTAAAAGTCTCTAGTTCATTTTTCTCCAACGATATCAATGTCATCAGCGTATCCAAGTGTTCTTGTAGGTTCTCCTATTGTACACTCTTGTTTTCACTTCCTTATAATTTTCTCCAGGGCCAAGTTGAAAAGAAGTGGGGACAGAGCATAACCTTGCTTTAAACCTAATAAATATCATATATAACAGGTCTACAATGGAACAAATAATTAAACTAGAGGACCAAGAGAAAAGAGATTTCGGAATAGAAAAAAAAAAGGTATAGCAGTATTTTTAGACTTAGCTGAAGCCTATGACAAGAGTTGCCGTCCTGTATACAGTTGGAAACATAAGATTAGGATTAGGTAGACGTTGTGATGCATACCAGCTCCCTCTCCAACAACCCTCACCGGGTATTAGAGTACCAGTCCAAGCCACTTGTTTTGGTACAATTAACACCTCTAACATAGTTGGCACAAAGAAACCAGACCAAAATTACTTATGAGACCGCTCATAATAGACTTAACGTGGTCGTTTGTTTCCTATAAATATACGGACGGATGGATTTGTTCTACGCCATAGGGCACAGTGAACGTATAGACCAAGCCACGTGTATGTTTGGCAGCCGACGTGGTGTAGCGGCTAGACGCTAGCTTGCGGATCGAAATGTCCGGGGTTCAGGTCGTGATGAAGTATGACGTTTTCAAAAACTGACTTGGCTCCAGGGTCGACTCAACATTAAATGGGGACTAGGTAAATTCCCGGGAAGTATCTACCGAGTGTCGACTGGTCTATAAAATATAGGTATACACCTAGTTGCCCAATACGCCTGAAAGTGTGAAAAATGGTCCTTTACGTAGGTATGTTTATAACTACCCCCGCCTCCCCCCCCCCCCCCCCCCATTCCGAAGTATTGAGGGTTAGTGGCGGGAAGGTAAGGGTGTATTTCTTGGTACACTTTTAAGAATCCATCCACACTGTAGTCATAGTTACTTTAACAAACAATTATTTGCTGAATAGGAATTCGAATTATTGATCTTTTGATCGGAAGACAAGCATGCTTGCTAGCCATTGATATGTGGCTCATAGTACAGTTAACAACTAAATGTGTAAGTGAAGATAACACAAAACTTTACAGGTATTGGTCAGTAAACGAAACACAGCTTGCATTGCTTGTGACATTAAGGATGTTTTTTTTTTGCGGGGGGAAGGGGGGGGGGAGAGGGGATTTTCAATTCTTGATGAATAATGACCCCGAAGGGCAGTGTGATCGAATCATGTTCACTCTTGTTGGAGAATCAAGTGAGTGGTGAAACAGAAAAGCTGATCAAGAAATTCCACTGTGGTTGACAATGGCACCACTGGGAGCCTCATCCCCATTGTTTTGCTCAACGATTTTGTGCAGTGTTGATGGAAATTCGTCTCAGATCCCCCCCCCCCCTTTCTTCTATAATCCTCATCCTCCAACTGCAGTAGTGGGGGAACGATGTCGACTGTGACCAGAATCCGGTTGAAGGATACATCGACTTCCAATAGAATAGAATAATAATGTCGATATAGGCAGTCACGCACCGTTGTTATGAGGCCGCGTTCCGATTCTGCGATACTGGAAATACTTAAAACACATGCAATGAAATTATGCGCAAAGAGATGGCATTGTGAGGGAGAGGGGATAGACTCACTCCCCCCTAACAAGCATGTCGTAAAAGGTGACTAGTCAAGGACCGGCTGAAATTTGATATATTGGGCCGAAAGGTGGAGATATCGCAGCCTGGCTGTAAACAAAACACCATGCTAACAGCCCTTTTACTGAATAAAAATAATAATACAGTTTACAATAATAAAAATAGAGGACAAAAAAGAACTGCCTCATACAAATGAGCACTAGCAAGTTCTCATTATTTCATGAAAATGATCCATAGATCTGTGAGCAAGAAGCTTAACGACGATGGGAACAGTTGCGAGGGAGGTTGTAAAAAAAGGAGGGGGGGGGGAAGGGGAGAGAGATGAGGGCACATACAAAGGAACAATAAGACCTTTTGGCAGCAGCCTTTATCGACAAAAACCGCAACAATGGGGACATTTTTTGGCCAGAGTGGAATAATATGAATGAATAAACAATTTATGAAGAGGAAAAATATAATGAAAAACGAGCAAATAAATAAAAAAGGAAAAAAAAAAAGAAATTAAAATAATAATGCCAGTGATCAAATAAAACAATAGTAATAAGAGTATTGATAGAGGTGATAGTAGATATTTTAAAAACAAAAACGTCAATGGTGATATAACAATAAAAACACAAGAAAATACTAATTAAAAATTGAAATACAAAAATAAATAATAACAATTACTGCGAAAATGAAAATACAATAACATTTATATTAAGAGCGATTATATTATTTAGATAAAAGAATTTTGAACATTGATACCTGATGGGCACAGAACACCTAACTATATAAATTCATATCCGTTCGTTCGTTCTCTCCATTTTAAGTCTTAATCACAGAAATAAAGCTGATATCTTTATCACTGCCAACAAATCTCATTCAGGTGATCAAATCATAAATTTTTTTCTTTCTTGTGTGTGTGTGTGTGTGTTTGTGTGTGTGTTTGTGTGTGTGTGTGTTTGTTGTTGAAAATTGTGTCATTCACGATTCGATTTCGATGTACCTAGAATACATTTATTGGTGTTAACTTCTCAGTTAAATCGCTCTCTACCTGTTGCTTTCCAGTTATCCACTTTTCCTTTGAGTGTGGTTATTCTTACTAGAAAAAAAAGATCTTTTCCAAAAATCCTTGTTACATCATAGACATACCACACTACTCATGACAAATTTCACCGTATTAGTA